GTTGGAGTGAGGACCTCTGACAAGAGAAAGTGGAGAGTGTGGCAAATTCTGTACCCAGCTTCCATGTCTTGGCTTCATGCCCACCTGCACTGCAGGAGCTCTCTAATTGGTTTCTGGATTTCTCACAGAGATATTTGGTTGGTTGGTTGTGGGAGAAGGCGTGGCTAGAGCTTCCTACTCTGCTGTCTTGCTGATGTCTTTAGTCTGTTCAGTGGAACTTTTTGCAATGGGGGACATGTCAATACTGTTCAACCCTGTAGCCACAAATCACTTATGGTTATGGAACATTTGAAATGTGGCTATTGTGACTGAGTTGCTGAATTTAAACTTCATTTAATTCTAGTTATTTTAAATTTAAATAGCCACATGTGCCTGCTAGCTGCCAAATTAGACACCAGAGTTGTAGAAGACCCATATTTCTACAACTTTTCAGCAATGCTTAATAGCTAACTCCTCAATCTAGATTCACATTAGAAAAAAAAGACAGCTTGTTATTTTAAATTGCATCCTCTAATTATTTGTGAGGTTGAGTATATTATAGTAGCTTAATGTCAATCAGCTTTTTAAATTCTTTTTTTAATTGCAGTATTGTTGACAAATAACATTGTATACTCATTTCAGGTACACAACATAAGGATTTAATATAAGCATGTATTGCAAATGATCACCACAGTTAACATCCATCAACACACATAATTCCATTTTTTTCTTATGATAAGGACTTTTTGTTTTAAGATTTTATTGGGGAGTTGGGGAGGGGAACAGCGCTGGGAAATCTGGGGAAGGGGAACAGACAAGTTGCTGTTCTTTTGTTCTTCAGTCTAGTTGTGGAGGACATCGCTTCACTGGCCCATGTTGGCATCATCATTGCGCTCTTCCCAGGCGAGGCAGATGGATCGCCGGCCTCTGAACAGCTGCTCACAGCGGCTCCTGGCCGCTCACACCACTGCAGCAGGGGCTGCAGCCTACGCCATCGCCGGCGACTCACGGCATCCCAGCTCCAGGTTGAGCTGTTGCTCATCATCTTAGCTGTGAAGGGCACAGC